AGAGAAGCAGCTTGCTTTAAAAAAGCTTTTATCTTCACTTCCAAAAGGGACGTCATTTTTCTATATAAATATAAAAAGGAAGCAGACTTGAAAGACAATGGAAAATGTTTAAAGGGAGGAAAACATAGACTAAAATGGAAAGTAGAAAAAAGAAAGGCAAAAGCACCGGAGCACTGACAGGAAGAAGAAAGCAGAGCAAATATTGAAAATACTCAAAGGGAGAGAAAGACAGGAAAAAAGAGGAGGACTAATAAAAAGTGAAAATAACTCATGTCAGAAGAGGAAGAGTTTTGCAAATCCACTTAAAGATAAGATTGTCGAAAATTTAGTGTAAGGGGGCCCCATGTCTGTGTTCGCCTTGGGCCCCCAAATAGCTAAATCCGCCACTGTGCTGGTCCTGGACACCTCCCTGGCGAGGTTTTCCGGGCACATCCAACTGGGAAAAGGCCTAAAGGAAGACCCAGGACACGCTGAAGGGACTATGTCACTCGGCTGGCCAGGGAACGCCTTAGAACTCCCCCGGAGCAGCTGGCCCAAGAAGCTGGGGAAGTCTGGGCCTCCCTGCATAGGCTACTGCCCCTGCGACCCGACGCCGGACGCGTCTTTTGGAATTCTAGGGTGACCAAGGAAGATCCCACCTTTCTCGCCTCTGATTGGCTTGATGGGCTCTACTATGATTGGCCATTTCATTTAGCAGCAAACCGTCTTCCCTTGCTAGGTGCAGACTGTCCTCTTGCCACCAACAGAACAGCTGTTTTGGGGATTTTTTTATTTTTTTAGAAAATAAGAACTTGGTGCCATTCTATCCTGTTTTGCAAAAGTTTTTTTTTTGTTTCATTGACTAAAAACTGAAAAACGTAAGAAGTGAACTTATAAATCTTGTTGCACTGAGGTTATCTTATTACAGCAGAGTACGTAGGATAAACGTGTGCACCTTACCTGAGTATGAAATATAATAAAACTGCCCAATTTTACCCAGCTGCGTGCAGCAGGTCTGTTTCTCTTCTAGAATAATGAAAACGGCTGAAAAATAAGTCTAAATCATAATCAGCTTTGAATTAATTTCAATTAAATATACAGATTTAAACACACGAAAGGTGTGTCCTCACTTTCATCCTGCTTGCTTAACAGCCTCAGCCTATGAAAGTATTTCCAAATTGTTATCGAAAGGCATGATCATGAAAATACACCACACCGATGGCATCACAGATTTTATTGAACAAGTACAGAACGTACGTGTGTGTGTGTGTGTGTGTGTGTGTGTGTGTGTGTGTGTGTGTGTGTGTGTGTGTGTGTGTGTGTGTGTGTGTGTGTGTGTGTGTGTGTGTGTGTGTGTGTGTGTGTGTGTGTAAGTATATTGAACTGGCAGCTATGTCATCAGCAAACAACAGATTAGATGAACATTTGAGGGCATGCCTATTATTTTTAACGTGGCTTTTGAAAAGCTAATGTTAGCTTTCTCACAAAGATATTTGCTTCTGCTCAGATATCCACATCAGTTGTTTGCTTGCTTAGCTTTCAGGCAAGCAAAGGCCGCTGTTGTCTGCCGCCCCCGCAAATTTTCAGGCAATCGTAGTAGAGCCCATCTAGCCAATCAGATGGATGGATATGTAGCATGTAGCATAGTGCTTGTTCATTGCGGAGTAGAATGCTTTCCACTTTGCTAACTAGAACTCCTGACATTTTTCTCTCATTTAAAAAAACAGCAGCAGGTACAAATGACGCAGAGTTATGAAGCCTATTTAGAATTTAGCATCAGTAGATGGTGTGTTCAAATAAAAAATTTGTACCAGTTCTGTAAATATTTGACTCCATCTATAAAATCAGAGAACATCTGATGTTAGTGATTAAAACTTGGGACAGGAAAATGTTTACTCAGTCATGAAAGGCCCCGGATCTTTCATGGATGGCTGGGTTGAATTAAGCATAGCTGGAAGGAACAGGGACATATCCAACTACCTGATGAGGGGCAGATGCTCACACAGACAGATATGAGAGAGAAGACGCACATAAAAAGCCTTGCATGGATGCTTTTTCACAGATGCTTAACCCAACTATGAATATTCAAACCATCGCAGCTGCTTCCCATCAGGAGCTACCTGACAAACCTTAAAAGCTGTAATGAAATTCATAGTCAACCAGATTTCTGTCACAATCATTAATCATCCTTTGCTACACACCCAGTGTGTGATATTTGTGTTACAGATCTGTTGTGGTGTGTTTAATAATAGGTCATGTGCATGAGCTCTGGCTGCTCTCAGCTCTCTGGAGAAAGGATGTGTTCCTCTCAGTCAGAGACGGGCACACCAATGCACAAGCTTTTAGCTGTTGTGTGGGCACAAAACACAGTTTAACACACAGCCTTGTGAGGCCACACGCTGAAAGAAAACAGCATTTCTGGTCATTTGGGAGACAAGTCCAGCAGCAATGTTTTAACGTTTCAGAAATGAGACTGTAATCCAAGTATGACCGCTTTAAAATGTGTCTGAGTGTGGGTTCTTCCAGATTACATTGGTCATCGTTGTGGTCAAAATGGATCACATCCTAAAGAGAGCAATTTTAAGATGGAAGCTGTAACATCCTGGCCATTCGGGCCACCCTAGTGTGTGACGTCACAACTCACGCAAGAGTGTGTGTATGGTGGTGAGATCCAAGATGGTGGAATACAGTCTTTTTTGCTTAGATTAGTCCACACAGCAGACAAAAGTATGACAGCAGCAACACGCTTTCAGACTAGCCAGTAGCTTATCAGTCCAGCAGGAGGTAACAGGTAAAATGAGTTATCCTTTATTGACTCATTTATAAATATACACAGACGCTCACTTTAAAATGTCTTATCTTAATTTTTGATAACCAGAGAAGTTCAGTTGCCAAGTTCGGCGTTCTTCAACCAAAACTCATTTGTAACATTAAGATCCATTTTCCTTTTGTACGATGTCAGTGACTCATGCCTTCATTACATCTCTTTTGGAACACTGGGACTCTTTGTACGTTTGCCACTTTGGTGCATGCGGATTGTAAAGAAACCCAGCATTCAGCCTCATGAGAGGCCAGGAAGTGTGTGATCACATCACACCTGGCTTTCTTTCAGTTTTAGTATCCAGTAAAATATTGATTGCTTGTTTTCTTGTTGGAACAGTTCTGCACATAAAAGCTGCCCAAACCAAATGACTTCCTATGGCTTATTTTAACACGTTAACATAATTTATGAAAAGCATGTCTCTAAAGCAGGTTTTAATCTATCCCATAATACACAGACTATTACAAACATAAGAAGCTGTCATGTTGTTGTTCCTGTCATATATAACAATGTTTCCATGACATCTATGACTGATGTAATGCTACTCTCGGCCCAGAACCTGATTTTATTGTGTTCTGCAGTAAAAACGCAGCCAGTCACTTCATCAGTAGGACTGCAGTTTTAAACACACATGAAGTTTTACACATTTAGTGCACCACTTAGTTAATGTGTTCCTAGAAACCCTCTGGGATTGCGGCCTGCGTGTGATGATTTTACTGCATGCAATGCAGACGATTACTGCGACGTTACAGTCCGCATTCGTACTCACACCAGAGGCATAGGCGTCATTTTAACCGGGGACGCCGGGGATATGTCCCCGGCAAAATTTGTGATTGGCAGCTGTGTCCCCCCCACTTTCAAAAAAGCCTGCCTTTATTGTCCCCAGCAATTTTTAAACCCCACTCAAGTGTATGGTTAGTGTCCCCAGCAATTCTGAAAACAAACTGACGCCCTTGACCAGAGGGGTCACAGTTCACCTGTGGAGCATACCAGGACGGACACCACGGCTCCGAGGAGGAATGGACGTGGCTGCAGCTCGTCTGGCAAATCTGATCTGACCTGCCCTCATCGCTCTTCACCCAAAACCACACACACACACACACACACACACACACACACACACACACACACACACACACACACACACACACACACATTGACCTCTGCTCTTTGTGCTGCTCAAAGTCTCTTGAAGGAGCTGGAGTCCAGTCAATGCTGCAGAATAGCAAGACAAAAATGTGTCAGTAAGTTTTAATTAGTTATATTTTTTATCTCATTGCACATTTTGAGCAAAAAATGTCCTTAAAAGTGTTGAAACAAGGAAAAGAAAAATCTCACCCAGAGCTGGATGATATTACAGTAGAATATTCTGATGATGACATCAGCTGCAATGCACTAAGGTTTTGTCTTCACAATGCTCTCAGCCCTCTCTGCTGTGGGTGTTTGAGGGAGCGGAAGTGTGTCGGACAGCCAGCTGAATGTTTTTACGTGAAGGTTAAGTCTGAATGAGGAAATCTTTGCTATGTTGATGAGGCAGTTTTGATAAACTTTGATTTATTATTTAACCCAAATAAACAACTTGTGTTAACAACTTTAACTGGGATTATATTACACACACACACATGCACGCACGCACGCACGCACGCACGCACGCACACACACACACACACCCACACACACACACATCAAATTAGTTCTATATGAACACTTCTGTGATTAAAAGATATGAAAAATCTCTGCAAGATTAATTTTAATCACAAACGCATTCATTAAATATCGTATTTAAATTAAGAATCCCTTAAAGGTTTTTTAAAACCTTCATGTTTAATTTCAGCAGGCCTGTCTTTACAATTAAAAGAGGTATTTCAGTTTTAAACAAAAACATCAAGTTGGATCTGTTGGGCTTTACCAGACGTAACGATGCTGCGTGATGACTGCTCACTAGGTGTCAGTGTAGGTTCTCCAGAAGAGGTTTGGTGCTCCTGAGTCGGTTCAGTATTTAAGACATACTCACTTTAGTTGAAATCAAACTTGATGAAATTTGAATTAATACATTGAATCTGTTTTGGTGGAACAGGGGAGTAAAGAAGAGTTGTGATGTTGAAATGAACCATTTTGAAAAGCTGATCAGATCATAAGAAAAGAGTTCAATTTGTGTTCAGGAACTGGAAGCTCAGGAAAATAAAACCAACAACTAGTATTTAATAATATGTCAGAATAAATTTATTTTAGTATCTTTGAGTACTGCAGTGAACACTTCCTGTTTAAAATAAGACAGTTCAAATTCCCGGTCCACGGTTAAAATCTACATGCTGACAATCACTGCTGTCATGTGAGAGGCTTGTAAACAAACTAATGTTAGTTTGACTGAATTTCCATTTAATGAAATCTAATTGCATGAACAAATATCATCCAGATTAAACATCGTCAGACGACTCAAAACACTCTAAACATTCTTTGAAGTTAAGGGGGTCTAAATCTTCATGTGAGATGTTGAAAACACTTAGACAGAAAAATAAAAATATATACGTCTAAGATCTAATCATTCTCACTCCTTTTATAACACTAGCCCTCAGGAGATATTTTACTCCATTTGATGTCATAAAACATCTATGCCCCTCCATAAATACCTTCAGTCGAGTACCTTTAAAAAATCTTTCATGTTCCATCTAAGTCACGCCCATCTACTTCTGGGCCACGGGTCCCCGGAAGAATGAAAAAATGAATGCAAGTCAATGGTACTACTATCTAATTCTGCTCGTTACGTGCTACGGATTTCACATTTGATGTCCGTGAATTTTAAAGATGCATTTTGATGCCAAGAAAGCACTTATTTTCTAACGGGGGAAACATTATTTTAGGTTTTGTATGAAAATAAGTCCAGGACTACAAATGCGCTTCACGAAAATTGACGCCATCAAACCAGACAGGGAGAAAAACAGAGAGAAAATGGCTGCAAGTTCAACGAACTTCAAATCCTACGTTCAGGAGGGAACCACCACAGATCCGACCATGTGGTAAGTAGCAGCTACGCTAGGGTAGAGGAGATTCTGTGGTGACGTCATATATGCGACGTACCGACATCTGGTTTGTAGTCGTAATAATACAAGCTGATGAATCTTAAAGTACGTGACTGGTGTGGTCAAATCACACTTTGTTACTTTTCATTTGAATGGAAGTATAACATATGTGTGATTCAGGGCGTAAGGCTAAGCGGATTAGAAAATAGCTCTTTTAGCCCCGCTTGCTTTCATGTTTTAGTTTTTCTGGAGACCCATGAGCCGACCGGAAGGGGAGGAGACTCAGGCTCTCCATCCAAAAGGATTGAACTTAAAAAGTGCATCATTAGCTAGTTTAAATATTCCCTCTAAAAACATGAAATAAACTCAGTCAGTCAAATATGTTATGAATGGGTAAAAACATAGGTGACTTTTCAAGTGTCTTCATTATCTCTCCTCCGTCACCAACCACTAACCTCCATCACCCATCTGATCGTCACCAGAGCCTCAAACGGGAAAACCCAGCTTCTCTGTTTCTCCTTACGCTGAGACACGGTGTGGTTAAATGTGACGTGTCTAAGATGAGTGCACACGATCCGATTCTAAAATGAAATCTACTTCCTACTCAGAAATAATCAATCTGCTTGCATAGTCTGGAAGTGATCAGAGATCAGAACTCCATCCTCAGCGGGACGGTTCCTTTGCTGCCTGGCGTCTTGAGGACGCAGCTCCTCCTTGTGCTGCTGCTGCTTCGTGGAAAGGAGTCGGTCTGCTCTGAGCTCTAAGCTGGTCCTAGATCTGCTCAGGAGGGCCGAGCATGGTGAGGCAACGAGAATTAGTTTGGTGGTTTAAACTAGGGAGCTGGTGGCTACCTGCAGCGAGAGAGAGAGCAGGGTGATCAAACATGATTTCAGCTATTTTTATTATAAATATCTGAACATTTCAGTTAGTTTGAAATGACTCAGTATTATGGGGGGCCGCAGTCATAACAATCATAACTTAACAGCGATATTTTGGGTTATTTAGACCATCATAAGAGAAAAAAAAAGGGAGTTCATTGTTTTAAAACTAAATATTTAATTTGGAGTTAAATAATTATTTTATAAACTAAAAATGTAGGTCAGACCAATATTTAGTTTATATAAAAATTATTTAATTTATGAACTAAACATTTAATTTGGAGCTAAATATGTAGTTCACAAACTACATATTTAGCTGGGATCTAAATATTTATTTTGGGAAATAATTTTTTATTTGGAGCTACATATTTTGTTTTTAAATAAATATTTTAATCCAAATTAAATATTTAGCTTGCTAACTAAATATATAGTTGATAACTTTAACATTTATATAAATGTATGAATAACATAGTGAAAATCTGATTTAGAAAAATGAACTCCCATTTTCTTTTCTTATGATGCACCAAATAACCCAAAATAGTGCTTTTAAATTATGACTCTGACTTTATAAATGGCACCCCATGTGGTTGTACTTGTCTTATATAAAAACAATTGCTAGAGAGTAAAATTCCCCTTCTCCAGTTTTGCATATTAGCTTAATTATTGCTTTACTATTTTTTTAAATAATAAAGATGGCTGCTGACGTGTTACCTCTCTCTCAGGGGGAGATTTGGGTTACTGAGGAACGAAAGCTGCTGTTCCAGACTGCAAACACGAAAGGCCAGATAGCAGGATGAAAGGATGAGGAGGAGGATGCTGATGGAGAAGAAGAGAAAGAGGCAAATGTGTTCTGAATAAAATAAAGAATATCATTTACAGACCAGTGGTGCCCATAGTTCCTGAGCATCACCACTCTGCTACCTTTAGATGTTTCCCTGCTTCAACACACCTGAGTTGGCTCGCCTCATTAATGTACTTTTAACTTCTGCATTGGTCTGGTAATCACCTACTGATTCAATCCAGGCATGTTAAAGCAGGGAAACGGCTAAAACATGCTGGATTAACCTCTGCGACTAGGATTGCACACCACTTAGTTGGAATGCAGAGCAGTGGATCAAAACTCTGCATATGAGTTGTAACTCTGCATCAAGTTAGTAATTAATAACCTTTAATGTGTACATGCAGGTGGTGATTAGGGTTGGGGGTCCTGCCCGGTCTTGGACACTGGTCAGGGTGGAGAATTAAATAGCTGCCTAGTCTTCTGATGGTCACTAGAGGGCAGTGTTTCATTGTAAATGTTGACATGAGCCAACAGAATAAAAATCTACTTAAATGTCTACAAAAGAAAAGAAAAATGATGAAACCTTTGGTAATAACATTTATTTGGAAAAATAAAGGTATAATATGTAAAAATCTATCATGTAAAAATAATGTTATCAATATAAAGTATGTTTAAATATTAACTTAAACATCCCTATGCCTTTGGAAACATTTTGTTTACTAGCCATCCCCACTACTGTTATCGTTATTATATTTCTATTATTATTAGCTTTATTGTAGTTCAGTGCCTGCTTATAAGGAAGACTAAAATGTGCATCAAGTGCATGGGTTAAAGGAGTAAGAAGAGTAAACGGCAAAAATGTTAATAAGCCAAATTCTACATTTTAATAAATTATTTACTGTTTTCCCAAGAAGCCACTCATTTTATATCAATAATTGGTGGCAACATTTATAAACTTTATAAATTTTAATAAATAGACATAATTGTTAAAAAAATACTTTTGATATATTTTTAAAGTGTGTGTGTGTGTGTGTGTGTGTGTGTGTGTGTGTGTGTGTGTGTGTGTGTGTGTGTGTGTGTGTGTGTGTGTGTGTGTGTGTGTGTGTGTGTGTGTGTGTGTGTGTGTGTGTGTGTGTGTGTGTGTGTGTGTACCCACAGCAGGGTGAAGAACTTAAGCAGCTGGTACTCCATTTGGCCCAACTCTGCCACTGGCTCTGATAAAAGACCTCGATCTGTCTGCAGACCTCGATCTGGAACACACACACACACACACACACACACACACACACACACACACACACACACACACACACACACACACACACACACACACACACACACACACACACACACACACACACACACACACACACACACACACACACACACACACACACACACACACACACACACACAGCTTAAATGTGCTACATGTTCCACCTCGACCCACCTGTTGTGGATGACTGCTGCTGCAGCCTACAAACTCTGACATGCATTTATTCCAGATAAAAACTTTTCCAGGGTAAGAAACCAAAACAAGTTGCACTCTTCAAGTGAAAACATCTCGAAAAGGTTCCAGTATGAAGGATATACCGCCATCTTATGGCAAATTGTCAGATTGGAACTTTCTGTGCTCTAAAGGCAACCACGCATGTGGGATCTCATGTTAAAGTTACATAATCTTGGCTATAGACAAATCAAAGCTATGTTTGAGCCTGTTGTTACAGAAGAATGAATACATGTTAGGTTTAGGTTTATTATCACCTTTACAGTGTGTGTGATTCAAAAGGTTTTCCAACCGCTTCATTACCTTTTCATGAAAGAAAGAAAGTTTTCCATCTTTTTTTCTATCTTTTCTATAGCGCTTCTCAAAGTAAGTCATGAAGCGCTTCACAAAAACAAACAATTTCAAATATAAAAAAAGATTTTTATAAAATGATTAGAAATTGTTTAAAGTGACAAAAATAAATAAAAGTTGTGATAAAAAAATGTAATAAAAGGGAGAGATAAAATGAATAGGAAAGGAAAATCTGTGGACCTGGTAAAGGCGGAATAGGTAGAAAGAGCAGAATAAGGAGATAATGGTGATGCAGGTCACAACAAAACCAGCTTGAACAGGTGAGTTTTCAGCTGATTTTAAAGGAGACCAGTGAGTCCACTGATCTCAGGCTCAGGGGGAGAGAGGTCCAGAGTCTGGGGGCCACAGCAGCAAATGATCTGTCACCTTTGGTCTTTAGCCAGTAGGCTTTGGTCACTGGACCTCAGGGACCTGCTGGGGGTGTGGGGACCGAGAAGATCACCAATGTATGATGGTGCTTGTCCATGTAAGGCCCCACAGACCAGAACCAGGTGCTGAATGACAGGAATAATTACTTTTTTAGGTGTGAGAAAACCCGAAGTTCCATCACACTCTAAATGCATGGCTCCTCTGAGCTGTGGAGATTCAACACTGACTTTGTTAATATACCAAAAGAAAACATCCCTGGGACTAGTCTCCATGGAGACGTTAAACTGTCCTCAGACACCTTTGATGGCTGACTCAGTGATAATCTCAACTTAATCTGCATTGGCTCAAAGCTTTTTAATACAAGATGCCACATGATTTAATCTCCACTTGGAGCTTAATGCATTGTTGCGTAAGAGAAAATCCAAACAAAGATTATTCATTTGCTTCCAGTTTCTCAGTCACACACACACACACACACACACACACACACACACACACACACACACACACACACACACACACACACACACACACACACACACACACACACACACACACACACACACACACACACACACACACACACACACACACACACACACACACACACACACACACACACACACACACACACACACACACACACACACACACACACACACACACACACACACACACACACACACACACACACACACACACACACACACACACACACACACACACACACACACACACACACACACACACACACACACACACACACACACACACACACACACACACACACACACACAACCAGCAGTTACACCTTTGTTCTTGTACTACCAGTGACATGAACAGCCCCATCAAGACATCCTAACCTCAGTAAAACACCCCTTCACCATCATTAATCACCTTCCAGCGGCTGCTCGCTCTTGTAGGGTGTGTCTGCAGCTCCCAGACCCCCAGTGGAGTTCCCCAGGAGGTCGGGAAGGGAGGAAGACACAGACACAACCGAGGGTTTCCTTCTCCACTTCAACACTGATGGGAATTCATCAACAACTGGGAACTCGTCTGGAGTTGGGAACTCATCCTGTAGTACAGCAGACAGAAGAAGAGACTGTAATAAACCCGGGGTAACCCTGCTGCTAAATATTCTCAACAAACAAGAACATTTTTCTCCAGATTTTTCTTTATTAATGGTTTTATAATTGCTGTACATCAGTTAAAAGATACGAATATTTAAAAACTGATAAAACTATATCAGATCATGCAGAAGCAACACAAATAAAGTCTTCATAAAAACGATATCTGAACCATTTATTACTATCAAATGTAAAATAATTAATCAGCTTTACATGATCTGGGTCAGATGTCACCAAAGCACTATTGAACTACCACCATAATACGAAGGCTTCATGAAAAAACACCTTTGTTTCCTACATTATTAAAAGAGTGGCCTGAGGAATGATCAAGGACAAGCATGCAAAAATAACCTAATATTGTTAAATACAAAAGCTTTTCTGTTGCAGAGAAGCCACACACACACACACACACACACACAAACACACACACAAACAAGGTGACTTGAGACGGCAATTGATCTTGTAGACTTGGGGAATAATTCACTACAACACAACGATGGATGGATGCTGTCTTAGTGAGGTGGTACAGTCAGCCCTCGGCTTTGAAGCAATCCACGTCCCACAAAACACACCAATAATTACTTTGATCTTCGCATTTTTTAAGACTGGATCATGGCTAGAAACAAACAGCTTCTCCCTTTCACAGCCATGTCTCTCACCAGGGATAAAGTCGGCTCCTCCATGAACTGTTTCAAACTCAGACTCTTCCCGTTGACCTGGAGAGAGAACAGCAATCACCTCTTTAACTGTGTGTGTGTGTGTGTGTGTGTGTGTGTGTGTGTGTGTGTGTGTGTGTGTGTGTGTGTGCGTGTTCACTGACCTGCAGGTGTGTGCAGATTCTGCGAAGGACATCATACACACTGTCTCTTGATAGCAGAGAGACAAATACATACTGTAGAAATATTAGAAATAATTCACATTATCATTGTGAGCTCAAGAAGTAACAAAAAGATATGTTTAAATATCTGTTCAAAGATCTAATAAAACCTATAAGTATTTAAAGGGGCCACGTAATGGCAAATCCACATTTTGGAGTTTTTACCATGTGATATTATTTCTTCATCGAAAAAACAACAAATCCATTTGGCTGCATTCATGCATTTTCCAGTTTCAGCTGCAAATGTTGTGCTTTACTTTGAAAATCTTGTAAAACATCAATGGAAACTAGTCTCATCATCAGGCCCTGCTCTTCTTTGGTCTGAAACCTGTCTCCTCTAGCCAGCACAGGATACATGGCTTAGGCGACTGGTGTCATGTAGCAGACTTGGTAGTGGTTAGAGTGCTGGGCTGGCGTGTTTTCAATCCTTCATTGGTTGACAGTTTACAATATAAGGACTAATCTGTTTTTTTCCCTTCTTTGCGTAATTAGCTAGTGTGAGTCCATGTGAGGTGAGCAGAGTAAACGACCAAATTCAAAAATCTTTAGAGACACTAAATATTTTGCAGAAAATTATCAATAAATCTAAAATATAAAAACATGAAGTTTGCTTCAGCTGTGTTCAGCTACAGCCAACACTGCCAGGATTCGAACCCACGTCAGCACATGGCAAAACTGAAATGGCACGCAGAAACCTTAAGTACCGGATTACCATAACAATTACAGTAACTGGATGGTCTAAGATGCTGTTGTAGGCATGTTTTGTCAGAGCAGGCGTGGGCCGAGTTTCACTGAAAAAAAGACTTTAATTTCTGGGTTCAAATTCAGGCTGACAAACTCATATTTAAGATAAATGACATCTCAGTAGTGCTAATGGTAATATTTTATCATATGCTGTGCCTACCTTTGCTCTCAAATATTTAAAATAGCATGATATGGAACCTTTAACAGAACTTAAATATTTCAGGTCAACAAACAAATTTCAATATTGTCACAGAGCTAAAAAGCTTAAGTATGAGATTCAGTTAAAGGCCAAAGGTCAAAACTTTCTCCTTTAGGATTTTTAGCCTAATTGGTCCCCGTGTTAACTCCAGGGGAGTGTGATCTGTTGCTGTGCATTAGTTTGTCACTCTGTTTAATTAAAAAACAAAAAGCTTATGCTTCCAACGCATTCACCGCCAACCTCCGAAATAAACAAATACATTTCAGTTATTGTTTCAATTCTTTGCTTCGTTTGCCTGATGTTTCAATATAAAAATCCACAAAAACATTGATATTTTTTCATGGTGATTCTCAGTGACATACTTGTGCTTTATTGTGATTTACTGAACGAATTATTCATTAAAACTTTATTAAAATAGATGTTTTTACGAATGCACGGTTTGTGTGAACTTGAAAGTAATTTATTAAGGGGGATGGGGGGTGGCATGGCCCCTGCTGGCCACCCCTTGGGGGCTCCACTGACACCAGATGTAAAGAGACACACACACCTTCCAGAAAGTCCCACTTCTTGTCCCATCATAAGTTTTGGTGTAATCTAGATCAGGGGTGTCAAACTCTAATTCACACTGGGCCGAAATGAAACTCTGGGACGGAGTCGAGGGCCAAACTTAATTTTTTTTTCTTAAGTGATGGCAAATTTACACATTTTCTTTATCAACATATATGCAATTTTGAACCTTTTCATTTGGAAACAAACTTATTTTTGCATTAACACTGAATGTGGAATAACCAAATTACACACGAGCAAGTCAGTTTTAAATAAAAGGCATCAGTGGTATTCATTACTTGTGGTATAATCAGCATTTTTAAAATCTATTCAGGATTTATGTTTTCTTTTTGTTTATTCATTTTTCTTATTTTTTATTCTCTTTTTTTCTCCTGTAATACGTGTCATCGCTGCTGTGACATCTAGCTTTCCCCACTGAGGAACAATAAAGGGATTTTCTATTCTATTCACCTATCTGCAGCCTTTCCACTTCCTGTTTACTGTAGGTTAAATCTTTTCTCACGGGCCAACAACAAAATAAAAATATAATCTTATCTTAAATGAAAATGCTACATCTCACCTGTTAACTTTCATGTTTTGGAGCAGAAAAAGAGCAGAAAACCAACATATTTAAAGCTCAGTTTGCTCCACTGGTTTACTGTGATGCTCACCTGTTCCAGCCAGATACCTGCATCATGGGGTTGGGCTCTCAGCTGAGGAGGAGACTCCTGTTGTTTTGTTCATCTTCATCACAATAATGACAACATTAGATGACAACAGGTGCTCACATAGGTTTGTGCTGATGAACATGTCTGAGCAGCTTGACCACGTTGTTGTGTGTCGGGGAGGAAACACGACTACAGCAGCCACAGAGTCATGCTGGTTTGAACGTGTCGCTGCTCACTGGAGTTATATCAGCTCTGTCTGGATGTTAGTTGGAAAACTTTCTCTTTCAGTTGTGAACACATTACTGAGCGGTTAAAATCTCCATTTCTGGGCTTCAATGTCAGAAAATAGCTGAGTAAACTCGGCGCTGAGAGAGGGGAGTGTTTAGTTTGTTGGAGCTGCAGACACCGGCAGCAGTCGCTGGAAAAAACACAAAGGAGGGGGCGCTTGGCTCTGCGCTAACGCTGCAAAGCATCATGGGAGTTGTAGTCTTTGAGGTAAATTTGGCCAGCGGGTCAGTTTTAACATATTTTTTATATTCATCTCGCAGGCCACATAAAAATGCTCCACGGGCCAGGCCTTGTGTCTGACACATGTGATCTAGATGTTTTGTGCGAATGTGAAACAGGCTTTCGTGTTCTTTTGTGTTGGTCTTGTTCTCATGTAGAACCATCCACTCTGCTTTAGTTACTGTTCTGGATTCTTTTGTTCTTGAATAGACATTTTACTTTTTGAGATCCTTTAGCTTTCTTCATGTGGTCAGGTTCTACTAAAGCGATTGTTTTATTCTACAGGTCAGACAGAAGTCAGGCCTGAGGGTGAAATTAATCTTAGCTTTCCTCATAATTAGTTTTGACAAAAGACCGGTTGGTTTAAACAGTTTTTATCCTTTCATAGATTAACTCAAGATTTTAAAACAGCTTTTTGTATTCATATCACATTATCTTTGGTTGTTGTGCATTTCAGTACAAAAAAGGCAAAAACAGAAGAACTCTGCTGACCTTTTAACAGCACCACGCATTAATGTCTAAATAACATGCAGCATAAAAAACATTTCCAGGCAAAAGGTAAAATTAGCTAAAGTCCTTTGTGTCAAAACTGTTTCAGAGAATCAAAACGCTTTAATGTGGAACACAGTTTGTCAAACGGATTGTTCTGCTTTCAGCTCTATGCAGGAAAGGTCAGTGACAGCGTATTTAATCATCATTCTGTCATCACTGATGCTTCTGAAACGTCGAAGCTTTACTGTGAAAACATTACATCAGTTTGTGTTGGTAAAAGATTAAATTGAGGATAAACAAAATTAAATCAGATGAAAAACGGAAAATTTGTATTTTTCTATAAACTTGTGTTGATGAGTGAAAACCCCTTCAGTAACATGCGCTAGCTAGACCCTGCTCTGGTTCCATCTAAAGCCAGGTAGGTGGTTTTCTTTTCCATCCCTGCTCTTGTGGGAAAATGCAGCCACTCTGTGCTAATCAGTGTTAGCATTTTAATTTGGAGCATGTGCGATTGAAGTGTGTACCTTCTGGTTGGTGTCTGTTGTGATTGCCAAGCCATTGGGCACGAGGCCGGCTGTCTTGTGCTTTTTCACAAGCCTCACAGAAATGACAGGAATAGCCACCTGAGCAGAAGGGACACAGGGAGAAAAACACTGTTTTAATTGATGATTTCACTCCCAAAATAAAGAAGAGAAAGTAACTGGTAAACAAAGCTGATGTAAATCGATTGGAGGAAAAATCTCTGCAGAAGACCAGCAGGTAACATGAAACGTTTGTGATTTGAGCCACAATGTGGAGAATGCAGCTGAATAAGTGGCTTATTGTCACTGAAATCTCAGGAGAGGGTATTTATAGGAAATGAAAGAAAAGGTACAATGCACAACATCAAAGGCACAAAATCTGTTAAAGGCTGCAGGAAACACCGGGAAACATCTAGAAGGCTCATCATTCTAACTGACTTCTTGTAAAGTCGAGCGTTCAGCCTGTCGGACGAATCAGTTCACTTGTACCTTGATATCCTTCCCAAAGAGGTTGGCGTAGAAACACAACCAGTTTCTAGAAATGTAAAGGCGGCCTTGCAGAAGGATATCTCTGAGAAGAGCACAGGAGTACACTAGAAAAAGGAAGAAGACAAAAAAAAGTCCATATCTGGTACAGTTACATGTCTTTGGAGTGTAGTGTGTAATGTGATGAGGTAAAAATGTTTTTATACAAGCGTATACTACACACTACTGCCATCATTTAAAATAAGAGTTGTAAGAACCTTTCATTATAGCATGCATAGTCTACGGAGTGTGTATTTATAAATTAAAGTTTAAAGTCCCATAGTTGTCACACACTTCACACATGTGGTGAAAATTATCCTCGACATTTGACCCATCCCCATGCGGAGCGGTGAGCTGCAGACACGGCTGCGCTCAGGAACTATTTGGTGGTTTAACCCCCCAATCCAACCAAGCTGAGTGTCAAGCAGGGAGGCATTCGGTCCTATTTTTAAGTCTTTAGTATGACCCGACCAGGATTTTAACTCCAATCTCCTAGTCTCAGAGCAGACACTCTATCACGGGACCACTGAGCTGGAATAGACATGGCAAACCACTTTACAAAGGTTTACTTATAAATGTCTAATAAATGGTTTATAGATATTTTATTATCAAATCTGGAAAACTTTGACTCAATAAGTGTTTCTTATACAATAAATATGCCAAACAGTGAGCCACTTCTGTTTTCCATCTGGAACAGTTTTATTAAATCTTTCAGACCAAGTTACCAAGTAAACACAATGAACTTTTGTAAATATGTTAGCATAGTGCTAGCACTGCATTATGCAGACTCACTCTTCTCATTTATTTATGGTCAACGATGACTGAGTTTTAATAAGTTAGTCTGAAATGTTTAATATATCAACTCTAGAATGAATAAACTGGTGACCAGTCAGTTTTGCTCATTCTTGCTCTTGATTAATGCATAATAAACACTTAATATTGATACATATAGTGTTTGCAGTTTAGTTATTAACATATCTATAAACTAGTTATTAGATGGTTATTAGGGGAGCCTCACTGTAAAGTGAAAGTCCACACACACCATCATCACACACTGTAATTTTAGCTGTGCTTGGGAACTATTTGGTGGCTTTACTGGTTTACAATGATAAGTCAGAACTTAGATCATTTGTACTTTTTAAAAAATAAATCCTCATAAGACTCTAAGATGAAAGACAATTAAAGTAACTTGTTTTGCTAATTTTGAACTGATAAAGGGTTCATCCTAAACACAATTAATTTATTTTACCTACAAAATTAGGTAACTTGCTTTAATTAATATGGATAACATCTTTATTATTTCTAACCATTTATTTATTAATTAAATGACAGGATTAGTGCATGTTAAAATCTCAGGTCTGTATAGGAACGCTTTAACAAACATGGAACCGCCTAAAGACTCAGAACAGTTATAAAGCGTACGGTACCTTTCATGAGGATCTCATCCATGGGCACACATGGGAACAGTTTGTGGTACTGCGAGTTGTACTTGCTGACAGTCTGTGCAGAGGGACAGGGCAGAGTCATGAGCAGCTCCTTGGTAGAGCGGCCTGCCTGCACAGCGCCAGCCACACCAGCTCCTCCAGCCACTCCGGCTCCACTCAACGCAGAAACAACCCTCTCCCTCAGAGGACGCGAGTTCTGCACCAGGCTCAGCACGTTGGCACCGTACTCACACACACATTCGCGCACATCCAAGGCCTGGAGCAAGCCACTGCAAGATACACACTGTCCCCTGTCGCCGGTCAGTACGGGCTGCAGCTGAGGACTGAACTAGCTCTAACATTAATGTACAAATAAAAACATCTGACTCTAATGCTAACACACACACACGCACACAAACACACACACTCACTCACACACTTAAACACACACTCTACAGACTAACGCCTCAGTTTACAACCACTGAGCTTGTTCCCAACTACAACGCTCTCTTTCTGTCTCAAATACACCTTCAGTGACTCTAGACGTTGCAGCTACCAGCATACACCCTCCCTCCTCTTCTCTCCCCTTTCCTTTGCGCGCGCGCACACACACACACACACACACACACACACACACACACACACACACACACACACACACACACACACACACACACACACACACACACACACACACACACACACACACACACACACACACACACACACACACACACACACACACACACACACACACACACACAGTCCATCTCTCTGCTCTAAAAACCCAGCTACTCCTCACTTCTCTCACCTGAACTCTTTCTTTTCCTCCTCCCCCATCCTCACTCTGACACTTTCTCTTCCTCTCTTTAGTGTTCGTCCTAAATTTCATACATTTTCCTCCCTGAACACAAGAGATCTCCTTTATTTCTCCTCTGTCATGTCTCCAACTCTCCTCCCACTTTCAATATCCCTGCTGCGGCTTTTCCAGGTATTTTTCTGGCTTTGTCCCGCTCTGTATCTCATCTTTCACAGTATTAATGTAAACTAGTTCAGTCTGTTGTTCTGCACCGCTCCTGGTTTTATCTCTATTTATAGGTCACACAGGAGAAAGCTCCTGTTCTCAGGACTAGTGTTACAGAAGGAGGGTGCAGAGAGGAAAGCCCAAGTCCAATTAACATGGTGCTAGAGGGTTAATTTGTGCCACGGTAATGTTATTTAGGTGAATTGGTTATTATAATCCCATGACTTTCAAAATGATTTGTAAATACTGAATAATGTATTATTTTCAATTTCCAAATCGAGCACTACTGAGATGAAACTTGCTATTTTAGTGCTGTTGTACTATTATTATAGATATTAATTTGTATTTTGTAATTTGAATTGCTTTTATTTCTGAATTGCTTTTATTTTTGATTTATTCACTATATTTGTACTCCATGTTTAGCACCTTGGGCTTCCTGACAGGGTTGCAGAAGGCGCTTTATAAATAAAGTTTGTTTGTTTGTTTGTTTGTTTGTTAAAACTATTTCAACTTGAATCAGAGGGACTTTCACTAAAAGCAAGAACCAACTCACCGAGCCTCTGTAACATTTCTTCACATCTTCGTAGGACAAATCTTCAATCAGGTGAAACCTATAATAGAAAAAAAAAAGTTATTTAGATCATGGTGGATCAGTTCAAAAAGCTAAGCTACACTAAATGATCTTCAGTTAGACCATCTTATGTTGACATATAATGATATTATTTGTATTTTATTCAAATCTCAAAATAAAATGTGGGTTTTCATTCAATATTATAATGTCTTGTGTAGTCTTCCAAGTATGTGTTGTAAATGACTATCAACAACAATGTCTGGCACAAACGCTTTCAAACGACAGTATTAGAGCTTTTTTTTTTGCTTGCAAGAGCCAGTTAGCTGTGGCAGCCATCTTGAAAAGGGCTGACCTCCAATATTAATACTAAAAGTAGACATATTGTGACTTTTTAAAGAAGTCTATGGTTGATACAAAACATGTTCATGAAGCTTTTTTGCACTAAATCCCTCTCACATGAAACAATTTCAGCAGTTTTATTTTTGACAGTTTTTGTACCTTCCAGAATGAGTCTTTCAGGGCTCTGTCACTTTAAAGGGAAACTATGCCGTTATGGCTTGCTTTTAGCACCCCCTAGTGCCCATTATTAATCTACTGTTGTAAAAGCAAAAGTAAAACTCTTCTCCTCGCTGTGTGTATATCTTTTCAACGCCTTCAACCAACTGCTAAAATGACTCCTCAGTTTTCATTTGTGTCTACAGGACTGATTCATCACAAATTTAAACAAATCAGCTGTGTTCACAATCTAAGACATGCAGGAAATGTAATGGAAGCAGACTTCAGCACTGGGATGTCAGACCCATGTTGCTAACTAAAGTGGGACCTAACAGGTAGTGGTTTACCAACTCTGAAGTTGCAAGTGTGATATTCTTGCCCCAAGGAGCAGTGGGGGTTTGAATGGCATTTTATTAACCTTGTACAGTGTCATTTTAGCACATACTGGCTCGTGAACATTATTTTAAAATAAGAAGAAGTTTCATAGTATGGATTTCAACAAGCTAGAGCTGGCCACACCCACCCATCCCCACTCAGGCTGCTATAAGCTGAGAAGCTCCAATATCTGGGAGGGGCTCAAGGCAGAGCTGTGGAAAGTCCTCTGTGATGTCATAAACAGGGACATTTTTTTAAATGCTTGGTTTCGGTCACATAATTTCTAAAACCAAACACCAACAGAAAATGGATGTTTTTTTTGTTTGTTTTTTTCACATTCTGAGTGTTTTTGGAGGCAGTAGAGACTCACATGCCAGCGTAAAAGGATGCAAATGGAAGAGTCACATAATATGTCTCTTGGGAAAATAAAGTCCCATAGCCAACATTACTGGTGAAATTCATCTCCGCATTTCACTCATCCCCGTGGGGAGCGGTGAGCTGCAGCGGTGGCTACACTCGGGAACTATTTGGTGGTTTAACCCGCCAAACCAACCCCTTAGCTGACTGTCGAGCAGGGAGGCTTTGGGTCCCATTTTTTAGGTCTTTAGGTATGACCTGACCAGTTTGAACCCCGATCTCCCAATCCTAGGGCGGACACTCTACCACTAGGCCACTGAGCTGGTTTTAAAATGAACACATAATAAAGAATAAACAGTGATGCTCAAATCCATCTACAGGACAGAAACAACCAACAAACTCATAACAACGAGGATGTTATTAAGATCCTTCAAAGCAGAAGGCTTGCATGAACCCTGAAGACTGAATGTGTGAGGTATGCTGACGGAGATAGAGAGACAGACGTCCCTTTCATCCAGTATCTTTCTGAGCGTGTCGAGTGATTGATGGCGAGCACAGGGAGATGATTTGAAAACACTGCTGCGGAGGAGACACTGATAAAGCTGCAGCCTGACGTGTACAGTGATGAATTGAATTGTACTGTGGGTGTGTGACAGGCACAGAGTGAAGGGCAGAGAGGATGTCATAACTCTGAGCAGACCAAAATGCTGCATCTATTAAACAGATATGCTGGTTCTCACCGTCAGCCCCCAAACTGGTCAAAATGGAAACTAACCGAGTAGTCAGTGTTGGATTATAAATGAGCATCAGCCAGAGAAATCTAACCTGAACAGACTTTATCTAGTTTTCTGGAGCACTTGCTGGTATTTATGGGGTATGTGCAATCTAAAGGTGGTTTTCCAGGAACACCACTCAGAGCAACTCGGACCGACGCAGCTCGGCCCGACCACGGATCCCAAGGGCACGGTTCGGTATTTTCTCTCTACTACTTTCTCCTCTATTTTTAGTCCCTACTCCATTGAGGTACCTGGCAAGGCTGAGTTGGCCGGCATCGTGATTCTGGCCGCTGATTGGCTAGGGGGCGGAGTCACTGGTTGCTCCAGAGTTTTTTTGCCTTGTGCTTTAGGGCCTGCAGCCATTTCCTGGTTCAGAGTCTGACAAAGGCTGTGTCTCAATTCAGGGTCTGCATCCTACGTCGGCCGGATTCGTCGGCCGGTTACGTCACAGCGCCGCAACTAGGCCTGTCCCAATTCGAAGACTCCTTCAAATGCGGTCGACGAATCCGGCCTTCTTTTCGCCTGAATGAAGGATGGGTCGGGTGTATCCTTCAATAGGTAGCATTTCCCAAGATGCCTTGCGGGCCGGCCGGCAGAAAAACTTAAAAACAATGGCGGACAGTGAAGCGGGAGCTGTCGGAGAGGATTGCGCATATAAATGTCAGTATAAACTTGAAAAATTGTTAGGTTAAGGACTTTTTGTGATACATGAATGTTATTTTAGTTAGAAATGTTACAGTAAAAGTGCTTGTATTGCGGTCTCGGCTCGTATGTTCGGCCGCTCGGTGTCGTACTTCTCCCGCTACGTTTCCCCCTGATTTTAATAGAAGTTTGTATTTTAGGGACAAAAGAGAAAACCAGGGAAGTTATTAAGCTTAGGGCGAAGATGGACCACATGATCACCGGAGCAAAGTATTCGGCGGCTGTGGCATGGAGGTACAATAACATCTCATATTTTAAAAACTCGTTTGAGTTTATTTTTTTCTGCGAAAACATGAAAGGAATAACTCGTTGTCCTCTTTTCTCTTCCTGTTTCTTTTCTTTCATGTTTGTTAAGACTATTCTGGAGAAAATGGGCATCCAGGGGAAGGTGACAGCGATGACCAGCTTCTGGAGCTGATCAGGGAGGACATGAGGCTGCAGAGGGAGGCAGAGGGCACAGGAGAGAAGGGAGAATTTTGACAGGCTTTTTACTTTGCTAGAAAAAAATGGTTAAGAAGGATTAAACATGTACATATAAAAGAAATATCTAAATAAAATCAGTTCTGCATTAAACTCTTGAATTTTATTTTGGTTTACAAATGAGAATTGTTTACTAGAGGGTATCCCGCTGGGTCTGAAAAGTCTTAAAAGGTGATAAATGGGTTTTGGTCAAATTAAGACCCTTAGAAAGTATTAAAAACTATTATCACATCTTTGCTCAGGCTCAGCTAGTCGAAAGTATTTTCTCCGAATTAGCTCTCCAACAGTCAAGGAAATGATTAAAGATCTAAATAAAACTTCGAGCTCCATCGTTTAAAGTTCCTTCTCCCTTCTGCTCAGCGGTTCCAGGGTTGCTAGGCGACGGAACGTTCGCAGAGGGAGAGGCGGGAATTCATGAAGGCCAGGCCTGTCCAAATTCACAGCCGTTAACATCCGGTCTACCCGGCCGACGGAGGACCCAGCCCACGTCGGCCGAGTAGGCTGGGTCCTTCGAAGGATGCAGACCCTGAATTGAGACACAGCCAAAAAGCCATTAAACTGAGTAAAATGTCCAGCAACACCACCATTTTTCAGTTGAGTTGTGTTTCTGTGGAGCACACAAATTACCTTACACTTTTTACTGGTCACCAGGGGCAGCGTTAGGCCCGGCTACTTGGGCTGAAGCCCCGGATGTTTTATGAAAAGCCCCGGATCTAAATCGCGGAAGTAACATGCAGTACCAAAGTCCAACAGAGAGGGAGGAGCTGGCAGTAGTTTGTATACAGCCTGCCTGAGCCTCCACCACTGAAGAAGAAGCCCTTCAGCAGCCGGTTTCTTCTACACTCTCTGCCTGAAACGCATGAGTGAAGATGGACATAAGGAAGTTTTTTAGACCAAAAGTACAACGACAGAACCCCAGCTTTGATGAGACGGGTGCCGACTCAGGTTTGTGAGTCTTATTTGAAAATATTTGTTGTGCTGCTGGTTTGCCTAAAGTTAGCTTACTATCAGGTAAAGTTGATGGAGAAAGAACGGGAATATTTACTATCATCTCACACTAAACACTAACAGGAACAATACTCTGCCCTGAATATGCTTAATATGTAGCTTCAGATTAAAAACTATGTGGTACAAGACATATATGATGTTGACTAGTGCGTGTCACATGTGTGTGTGAGCGCGCGCGTGTGTGTCAAGCCCCGGATCTTCTTCAGTCCTAAATCCGCCCCTGCTGATCACCTCATGTTGTTTTGTCATGAGTAAGAATCGCGCACTCGATGTGCAGTGACCACTTCATGATCAGGTTAGCACATCTTGAGCTTAAAAGTATCGCTGGTTAACTCAGGATCGGTTTAACACACTTAGGATACTGTTAAGACAGTTAGGAAATGGTTACAAGAGTGCACAACTCCAACACAATGACCGCTGAAAACAACACCGTCTCAAAGGGCCGTCGTCTCTTTCTGCCTACGCGATGCATGCCTCCACCATGTTTGTAAACAAATAAGGGGGTCAATAGGTTGAATATGGAACACAGACATGATAGCAACAACCAGGGCCAGATTAACACTTTGTTGTACCCTGGGCAACAATATTAAAGGGCCCCATCATCACGACCCAAGGATCACCATAACATGGTCACATACAGAATATTTTACTGTAATGTGCAGTAAATATACTCAATTCTTGAATGCCTGACATCACGTAACCCGCTCAGGGTAACCTTTGACCCACCTCGTGTGGACTGACCGATGAGGAGAGGGTCTTAACTTGAGGCCCTCTCTTCATTGGTCAGTCTACATGAGACTGACTCTCAACAGACGTTCAAAGTCATAGGCAGCGAAGCGTCTCTGTG